CTCAGGTCTTAGGTCTCCATATGAGGCCAGGGCAAACGTCCCCTCGTAACCCATCCACAATCCCAATGGCCCTGGAAAAGAGCTTCCAGTGAACAATTCACAACAGGTCTCCTTCCCTGGCAGCACAACTAAGAGGAACAGGTCTGTGGAGCAACAGGGTTTGTGCTGGAGACCTGACACCCACACCATATCCATTTCAGGACCTTCTTCAGGCCAGCTCTAGCCTGGCCCCACCACCTAAGCACCTGCCAGTGGCTGGCACACATGAGGTGGGCTCCATCCATGCCACATGGACCCACTTTGAGGTCTCCAAGACCTCTTCAGGATGCAAACCTAGGAGAGGAGGGTAGAAACAACTAAGAGATTTGCCCCAAATTTGTGTTTCTGCTCCAATCCCCATCCTGCACATGGCCACACCTGCAGTTTTTTGCCCCAAATTTGTGTTTCTGCTCCAATCCCTGTCCTGCACATGGCCACACCTGCATATGAACATGGTCATATGAACATGGTGAGATTTCCAAAAACAGGCTGGGCAAGCTGCCTTGAACAAACCTCAGGTGTGTCCCATTTCTGAAGCTGCCTTAACCGTGGGGCAAGCAGCACAGCAAACAGGTGCTTTGCTATCAGACAATAATTAACTTCTTTCAAGCAGCTAATTTCTAACACTGCCCACATTATCTTCTCCACATTCTTTTCTACCAAGAGATGTTGCAGTTTGTCTGGCAAAATAGTCACCTTCCCAAGCAAACTCTACCCAAAAATCTAATAGTGAGCGCTCACTCTTCATTAGGAGCAAATTGTTAATACCAGTTTTCTGTACCTAGACCAAGCATTTCATTATTATTTTTTTTTTCTCCCCTCAGTAAAGTTTTTGAACTCAGGAGTTTCTGAACCAATTACTGCACAGCCACGGTTCGCAGGAGTATCTTTCACACAAACCTTTTCCTTTTACAAACTGGGTTTATCACCCCTGTAATGATAAACGCCGGTGCCTTGCACATGTCAGCTATCAGGAATTCATTATTTTGTCTGTGTTATGTTATACCAGTCGGGAGTTATCTTTGCAGCCCACAGGCCAGAATCAAAACCGAATGCGTCAGCTATTTAAAGAAAATGGGAACCCTCCTCCAGCAATTTAATTAACTTCCAGGGAGCACGGCTGGGTTTCAGTCCTGGAAACGTTACTGGGGAGAATGTGATCCAAGATTATCAGGCAGAATTTTTTTTTTTTAAAAAAAGCTACTTTCCTTATATAGTCCCTGCAGCTAATCCAATTTTAATAAACGTTTTTCTAACATTAGAAAGACAGCATCTAGGACTTGTCAGTTGTAAACTGTCTCTTTCCATCAAGCTACAAAGAAAAATTATGCTATATACTATTGTATAGCATTTTTGAGGGCAGATGTTTAGCCTGTAAACTAAATACAACTAAGTCACTAATTTCCCAAGGAGGCAAGATTTTATATATTCCATGTTTACATGATGATAATTACCAGACCAGTCTATTATTTCGCATGCCTGCCAAGACATTAGCTTTCTTTAAAATTTAAATAAAATGTCTAAAAGAAACAGAATATGGACTCTTTTCCCCCCAAAACTGAACCATGCCAGAAGCTGCAACTTGAATCAGATTCTTTCTAAAAACCTTTGCATAGAGTTTAAAAACCCAGACTTTGTAAAACCAGGCTTGCAGCTTTTTTCTGCTTCATTTGCAAATATAAGAGTTGAAGAGTACAATTAACTAGCGCGTAGTGTTTCAAAACTCCTATTAATGACTAATACTTTGGGTTCTTATTACAGGAGCCAGAGAAAAACTGACGGAAATTCAGTTTGAACAGAGAAGCAGTCAACTGGAAACCATAGATGAGTCGTGAGAAGCAAACACAAAGCGTTACATCCCTCCTCTTGAGCAAGATGTTCCCACTCATTGGGCAGGAAAGCAGAGGGACAGAGATCTGCAGCATCTCAGACTTGCTGGGAACATCGCAGCTGCAGGACTCTCGGGAGGAACCGTGGCAGCCCTGACACCGACCCATGGAAGGGGAAGAGGAAGAGCTCACCCAGCATCCCTGCAACACGCTCTTCATCACACACAGGGGGGAATTATCTTGGCTGGGATCACCAGTTTGGTAAACAGGAAAAAGGAACTGGGCGTGCGGTGAGCTACACCGATCGTGGTCCCTTGTCATCTTATTTAATCATTCCTCCTGCAGCCCACAGTCATTTTAGACTGCCCTTGAGAAACCAGAGCTTCCCACAACAGGCAATGGACATGCTGCGGGTGCAATTTTGAACCATGTATTTAAGTTTTATCAAGATGTCTTAAAAGCCAGAGTCCTCTCAAAGTGGGACTCGGGTGGTTTATCTCACATAAAGCCTCTCTGCAGATGATAAAGCTCATACCCTTGTCCTAACAGCCCAGGCCAAGACCCTGGGGTCCAGTTGCAAACCACTTGCAAGGGCCAAACCCCAAAAAGCCTGATATTTTCATGCTGTCAGTGCTACCAGACTTCAAATCACCTCCAGTGAACCATCTGGTGCAGAAATCAAAAGTTTTTACTTTCCCTAAGCGCCCACACATCAGGTTTGCTCCCTGAAAATAAACAGATTTCAAAAGAATGTGCTCACCCCCTCAGCACGGGGCAGGGGAGGGTGTTTCTGGGGAGATTGCTGCTCTCTGCCATCCAGACGTTATCTGAGAATTTGAGTGGTGGGTTGGGAGAGGGGTTACTGCACAGCCACAGGAGTCTGAAGCGTTCAGACCCTGGTACTGATCTGCCTGTTCCCACATGAAATCAGTGGGAATGTCACACAGACCCCTCCACAGGACTTGTCCTCATGGAAAAACTCCCTACAGGATGCGTGAAAACTCAGCCAGGCAGAGATCACCAGCGTTGTCTGGACTGGCCCATTTTTCACTTCCAGAAAGCTAATCTCTAGGACTTCAGGCAATTCCTGTATTTACCCGCATCCATTCAGCACTAATCCTATATTTTAAAAAAAAAAAATAAATTAACCCATGTGTTCTCACGTAAGCAGAAATGGTGCAAGAGCCACATTCCAGAAAGTGATTCAAAAAGGGGAATTGCCAAACGACATGGAACACGCCAAAGCCAAGACGCTGCAACCGGAGGCACCGCTGCAAGGCCGTACCCTTTGTCTCATGGGCCAGTTTGGCAGGGGAGACCAGTCCCACGCTATCTTTAAGATACGCTGGTAATTAAGCTAGTGCTTTATCAGGGGTGGTCCAAACGACCACTTGTGATATGTAAGATGAAATTCCTTCACTTCTGGTGCGCTCGCCGGGCCTGGGACAGCTGGCCGTGCTCATGTGCTGCGGAGGCACAACATATGGTTTGTTTAAGAGAGGAAACAATTGCTGCAGCTATTTTCACACAAGTGTTCAGGGAAGAGCTGCACTTGGGAAATCAGTCTTGTAGAGCACTATTCTTCCCTCCTGTTTTCTTTAAATACTTCTCAAGGTAACCACGGGCAATCCACTCCTTGCAACGTGTCCACGGAGGCATGGAAAATAACCACAGATGCAGTTCTGGGGCATGTGAAGCAATACTTACAAACCTATTTATGGCAAATGATAAGGAGTCAGTGTGAGGTTTAAGCCACATAAGGGCAGGCTTTCACCACAAAGGTAGTTTCTAACCTTAACCCCTTTTCTTGAGAATTAAGAGCACGTGTCACCAGTTGCTACAGCTTAGCAAGTTACTTCTTGTCCAGTGAAAGGCATTCTCTGGTCATCTGTGCCTAAACTGGGTTAAGTTTAGGGTGTCCCTGAGAAATTAGGCAAGATGAGCGGTCTTTCTAGAGAAAAAAAACAGCACACAGACTCTAAGCAATATACAGTGCATCACAAAGCAGCTCTACAGCATGACCAGGAACAGAAACTGTCTGTACAGCCAGCCCATCCAGTTGATCTTAGTCACAAGGACATCTTTTCCTCCCTGTGGGCAGGAGAGCACACCAATAAAAAGGAGGAGGAGATTGTGATGGACTTCACAGAGCATGTCCCTCAGTGGAGAAGGGATGGCATTTGGAGAAGAAGGGGTCTTGGGCAGCAGCACTGGCACTTACTTGACAAGCAGGCACTGAAGGAAAAGCAGAGCATGTCACTGCCAAAGGCTTTGGCAGTCGGATGCGACTTGCTCCCTGTGTTTGAGCAGACAGCTCTTTACTGAGCATTTCCAAAGCATGGTTCTTGAAAGCTGCTGTAGCTAAAGCGTAAACACACCTCTCTTCCCACATGGAAACTTAGTGAGTGGTAAAATATTAACATGACCAAAGCCAACCTTCTGAATTTCTATTTGCTTAGTGAGCTGTTTCTAATTGAAGGTCTTTTCCCCTGGCTCTAACAGGTCCAAGTGCGACCCCACCTCCTCCCCACGGCTGGTCATCATAACCAGTGTGTGGCAAAAAGTGGTTTCCAAGGGTAAGCCCAGCCTGATGATGCAGCTTCAGACATCTAAAGCCCCAGCAACCGGGTCACACACCAGCTACAACACAACTGTGGGGTCAAGTGTGGGAAGGGGGAGGCCCCCGGGGCAGCTGCAGAAGAAAGCAATTCATTGATGTCCAGCATGGGCAGCTGACAGGCTCCGTGTCCCTCAAAACATGTTGTCACTGTACAGGCAGGGCCAGGGGCAAGGTCACCCCAAAGGACCTGAGCCACAGTGCACAGGCAGGAGAAGAGTAGGAAAGAGTGGGAGCTTGTCTCCCTATCCCACTTCAGTGTTTGGGGAGGGGAGCAAAGAGGGATGGCCTAAAAAAAAAATAAAAATCCCTGTTTTGACTCAGAGCCTGCTCACAAAAGGCATTACTCACCCTGCAGACTCAGATTTTTATCCAGCCCAGCAGCACATATCACTTTCTTCAGCCACTGCTCGCGGCTGGACTTTACCCCCCTTTCTGATTGTTTGCAATACAATGCCAACCCAGAAAAACACATCCATCAAGCACAGCAGTATTAGAAAGGAAAATGTTATTACCTGGAATAGTCCCCTTTAGCTTCCTACAATTGAAAAACAGTGACAGAATTAAAACATGATCTCTTCAAAAGTCCTCGATTTTCCCAGCATTGTTCACTTCCCCACTCCCACAGCTCCACGGCCAGATCCTGACCCCAGCTACACCCCAGGCAAAGCATGGAGCCTGCCTGCATGTATTCAAGAACAGAACCCTTTAACACTTCCAGCTGTAGATGATCCACCTACACCATAAATAAAACCGCTTCCAGAATGGGGATGAATTTCACACTGCAAACCAAGTGTCACTTTTACTGTACGAGAAGTGAAATACAATTCTCTCTCCGGCCGACCGCATCCAGCTAAAGGGCAGCTTTACAAACAGGTCAGCACTTGAGAGAAACTGAGCTCGCTCCAGATGAAAACAACAGTTCAGGCAGATCGAGCCACCGCAGCTTTGCGGTGGCATTTTGTCACTGAGACACTCTCACTGGGAGAGACAACCCCCCCTAAGATCTTTTAGGTCGAATTTTATTTCTTACAAAGTGGTAAATAACCAGAGTTTAGGTCTGAGTACAACAGATCTTGATTAAGAAAAATTGGCATAATATATTTCAACATAACAGAAGTATCAAAAACAAACACTCTGAAAGATTCACAGGCATAATATAGCAACTTGAGCTACAGTAGTATACTCTTTGCTTCCCAGATCTCCGGAACATACTTAAATTAGAATAAGTGATAAATTAGACAGAAACTGCCAAGGACTTCCCTTGGTGAGTTTCTCCTCTTCCCTCTTTCAATTTAAAATTCCCAAAATAGACATTTCTCTTACTTGCCTATAAGGAAAAACAGCTCCCAACTTTTTTAGCTCCCCCTCCTCCCAACTGCAGAGATTGTAAAAAACGCTGCATGGTTTTGTCTTTATAAAGGGGAGAAAAAAAACACCAGAAAAGGAGCGGGCAGCTGAGCTACAAGAAGTCTAAGCTACCGGTTATTAGAAAACCCCCCAAATGACAGGAGGAAGAGCCGCTTACCTGCAAAATCAGAGCTGCCAACTTGAAGACGGTCTCACTCTCCACTTCAATCTGCCCCTGTTGCAGGGAAAGAGAAGGACATGAAGCGTGTGAGTGTGTGTGTATGTGTGTGTGCCTTGCACCGCCCCGCACAGCCCCGCACCGCCCCGGTCCAACGCGGGGGCTCAGGGAGGCGGCTCCCGATGCTCCGGGAAAGGCAGTGCCACCCCCAGTCCCCTCCCCACATCCCCTTGGCAGCCACCCCCCTTTTGTCAGCGTGGACACACAAACACACCGTGACATCGCCTTTCCTCCTCCTCCTCCCCAAACCCTCCCCTCTCCCCCCCCTTTTTCTCTCCCTCGTGTGTTTTCTTTACAAATCTTTCTTTTATTGCGTTTTGCTGGAGGCTGCTTTGCGTTACCGCATCTGACAGCGCGTCCCATCGGGGCTTTTATTGCGTTTTGCTGGAGGCTGGTTTGCGTTACCGCATCTGACACCGCATCCCATCGGAGACCTGATCCTGCACCCTGCAAAATAAACCCACGAAAAACTGGCCATGGAGCAGGGAGGCAGGGTTGAAGGAAAGGTATTTTTATGGCTTGAAGCACCTCCTCAGGGCAGGGAGGGCAGGTCTTTGTCGCGATGGTGGTACACACACCCCTGATGCTAGATAAGTGATACTTATTAATCACAAGAATAGCAAAACTAAGCTTCCTTTGCCCCACAGAGCCTGGATCTCACAGCCTCCAGTTATTACAAGTAAATTGGAGTTGTAGTGTAGCAATTCAGAAAAACTGCATGGACCCCCATGCTGGACATCTCCCCACTAACCCCACTCCAAAACCAATCCTGCACTCGGTGACTTCAGAGGCGTTCAGCAGATAAAGACTAAAAGCACTAAAACCACATAAGGATCCTTTTTTTTCCTGCTCACAAGCTTAAGTGCAATCTTAGTTAGCTTCTTTGAAGCAAAAACCCTGGTCCTTATTCTATACAGGGACCAGCAGTAGCACTGGAAAAGTAGAGGAGATGTGCTTACAGTTGGACTCTTGGCTTATCAAAGCTACCCCTTACACCTACTGCACCCTGCAGACTGTGTATAAGGGACAAAACCGAGTGCATGAACCAGCCCACAAATACAGAGATGATTTTTTTTTTTTAATTATTGATCTTCTGCAAGCAAAGATAGTAGCCATCGTACCAGTCTTTGAGGGGACAAAGCAGACCGAAAGCTGAAACAGTGCCAAAACCAAGGTAGCAGGAAGATCCACAGAATTCCATACAGATAGAGGGAAATGACATCTCAAAATATATAGGGCACATCTGGAGCTGAGCTAATTTACCACAGCTGCAGGTCTGCCCCACAGAGACTAAATTCAAAAGCTGACAAACAAAGTGCATGAACCAGCCCACAAATACAGAGATGATTTTTTTTTTTTAATTATTGATCTTCCACAAGCAAAGATAGTAGCCATCGTACCAGTCTTTGAGGGGACAAAGCAGACCGAAAGCTGAAACAGTGCCAAAACCAAGGTAGCAGGAAGATCCACAGAATTCCATACAGATAGAGGGAAATGACATCTCAAAATATATAGGGCACATCTGGAGCTGAGCTAATTTACCACAGCTGCAGGTCTGCCCCACAGAGACTAAATTCAAAAGCTGACAAACAAATAATTCAATTTTCATGGAAAGGAAGTTTTTTTTTTTTTTGCCAGCTTTGTCATCAATAAAACATTCCAGCAGCAGCACTCCCCCGGGCTGCTCCGCAATGGCAGACTACAAGGAATTTCCCCTTCCCAACAGGTGTGGCAACAGCTATGTAGAAGTAGCCTCCAAAGCATTCGCAGACATATTTTATTAGAAGAAGAGGAGGGGCACATCACAAATTAGGAGGGGAAAAAAAAAAAAAAGAGCCTTGAGTTCATCCTTCCTTCAGATCTCTTTCATGTCGATGCTTAAGAGAAAAGTCAAGGATTGAAGCCCAGAAACTCTTCATGTAGTTACAACTTTAAGGCAGTTTGTTACTTCCAGGTCCGTATCAGGGTAGTCTTTGTCATGCACATCTGAGCTGCCTTTTTTTAGCTAAATTGCATCTGCTCAAACAGCCTCTGAGGCCAACTGTGGCAGTGGAAGGATTACAGGGCATCGTGTCATCCCAGCACCATGCTCTGCTGCACCAGCAGGTGGGGAACCCAGGCATGAGAAAATGCCATCGCAGGGAACCTCTGCTCAGCAAGAAAGACAAGCTCCAGTTCAGCAAAGCTGTCCCTGGACCACAAAATCAGGGAAAACAGGGCCAGAAGGACCTTAAAAGCTCATCAAGATCATCTCCCTGCCCCAAGGCAGAATCAGCTACATGCGGCTCATCACCTTTTACGCATACAAGAAACTCACCGAGATTTAAATATCTAAATGCAAGTCTCACATCAAAGGCCCTCTTCTCTTTGGTACTGGCTCCAAGGAAAACTGGGTGAGCTACTGCTGCAGCGAGTCTCTGCTGACCCATAGCAATAGCTGCTCCTGGCCTTACTGGGGTGTTTGGGGCTTAATAACCCAGCACCTCTTCACTTTTCATCTTCAAAGCACCTCACAGCCATTAACTAATTAGCAATCGTAATTACGAGGCTGCTTTTCTGTGTTTATTTACTTGGTCCCTAAACACAGATGTTTAGGAAACTCTGGTCACTTTACTAGGCTGCTACGATATTGCCACGAATGTTAAAAGTGATCCCACAAACCACTTCATTTAGGGTTTTGGGAGACCAAACAGGCTGAACGGGGACTGCCTTCTTCAGGTGATGAAGTTTCAGTCCTTGCTTTCATAGTGAGGGTTTTGCTGTGGCAATGTCCTCAGTTTTGAACAGGGTTGCTTAGAAGCTGTGTTGAGGAGCAGAGAGGTAAGAAGATCCTCCCTAACTTTGACCTCTCTCAAACAAGACACAGAAGGTGTCTTTGACCTTCAAAGGGGGCAAACAGGACATCCCAGGTGCAGGGCTGCCACCACGGCTCTCCAGCTGTTGCAAACCTCAGAACAGGGCAGACCAGCTCTAATTATTGCCACATACCACCATACAATAACAGTGGCAGGAGACTGGGTCCACTCTGTGGGAGGCTCTGCCCAAAAATAACCACCAAAACACCCAAATTGCAGATCAGGAGAACCTCTACCTTTTAAAAGGGGCTAAAATAATCCAAGAAGAAAAGAGATGCAGGGAGGTGAAAGGACTGTCCTAGTTCTAAGTAGCTGAGTGAGGACTTGAAGCACAGGATCCCAAAGCCCAGCCCAGCCTTTATCTAACAGACTAATGCTACATACAAGTGACAAATTATTTTCCGTCGTAATATAAAATTATTTGCCATCTGGTTCCCCAATTGGCCATAGCTATAACGTAATCCAGGCCTGCCCTGGGCTGTCAAGGAGTTTGGACAGCCCTTGGCTTGACACAAATTCATATAGCGATACATGTCACTCAGGAGCACAGGACCATGGCTATTCCCACTCAGGCAATATTCTGATTTTATAACCACCCTTCAGCCCCAAGGCCAGCAGACAGGGGGGTATCTTTTAGCATCACTTCAACAGCAAGGTCAGATTTCAAAAATAGATGGGGAAAAACGGCTGAAAGAAGATTCATTCCCAATGCCTGCAATTGCTGGGCTAATTTAAGCAGAGACTTCAATGAGCAGGAGGGGGACCCTGGGAGCCAGGGCAGCGAGTGCCCTCATGGCCGTGTGTTGAAGATGAAGATGGAAGGTTTTCCTAGATTTATCCCAAGTGGGAACAAGGTCACTAGCACGAGGTTAAGTAGATGGATGTAATTCAGATAATGGAATCTGAGCCTTCTACATTTTAGATGCAAATAAGTTTAAACAGACTAGGGGGTGCAGCTCCAGGGAGGGGATGAAACTGGTATTTTTCAATTAGGGTTTGCACTGGGATCAATCATTTGAACCAGCAAGACAGATTCAGCCTCTTGTGTAGCTCTCCAAAAGGCCACTGGCTTATCTAAACACTGCATTTGGTCCAGCAGATTCAGGTGGTGGCTTTTGTCATGCTGACAAACATCAGAATAATAAAAGGTTGCAGCAGATGTCCATACCAGGTGGCAATTACCACAGAGCAGGAACAGGTCACTATCTCGGCGGCCAGTAAAGACCAAGTCCTGCCTTCAGTGCCCGTGGGCAGAATTTAGCCCCTGATTCAGATCTCAAGAGCTCAAGTCTTTTGCTGCACAGACATAGACTTATGAATGTGATAAAAATCACAAGCTCGGTCATGAATAGAGCAGTGAACCCTCATTAGACACAGCAACAACACTAGAATTTACTGTCACAGAGATACAAGTCCAAAACCCTGATGAAAACACAGATCAAGAGTGATGATAGTCAGATGAGCATTAACTGTGCTAAGCAAATCTTTAGACTGTAAACTCAGATTAAAGCAGATTTAAAAAAAAAAAATGAGCAACACACAGGAACTGTCATCTTTAACTCTTTAGAGCCAGAGCAAGACGTGAAAATGGATATGGTTTGTTCAAAGCACATATAACCTCCAGAGGTTAAAGACTAACAAAGATATTTCACATGGAGATTTGAGAAGATACTAACAAACCTCTTCCCTCAAACCAACCTCTTTAAAAATGTATATTAACCAAAGACACCCCCAAATACACACACTATGATTGAATAGCCTCAAGACAGCCACAACATTGAATATAATTACCCGTGATGACTGAAAGGTGATTTAAAAAAGCTGAGAGAAAGAAGGGTGCGATTAGGCAGAGGGAAAGCAAGGATCCAAATGTGTACGACACGATGTTCAAACTGAGGGAGGCAATTAGTTGGGTGTGGACAAGTGAAGAAAGCGATGCCAGCGCCTGTGCCCTTACCCAGCACTGCCATGACTTCCCCCAAGAGATCCAGCATCCCCACGGTGTGCCCCGACAGCCAGAGGATGCAAAGGCAGGGCCCCGCAGTGCAGACACCTTACCAGCTTTTCAGCATTGAAGGGTTGTTTTTTTTTGGGAGAAGAGGCTGCACAAAGGTGGCCTGAGCTCCTGGGATCTGAGCTGGG